GGCATGTGGTGCTGGGGGATTGAACCGCGGTCCCTGATGCTTTTGCTAAGCTTGTTCTAAGTAGGTGCTTTAGACCACTGAGCCATCTCTCCAGCCCCTACAAATTTGTTTTGATTGCTGGATAATATTCCATTGCAGAAGGCAAAAATCTTGTTTATCTATGCACCTTTTGAAGTATATCTTTGCTGCTTTTAACTTTGGCGATGTGGCTCCATCCTTCTGCAGCCCCATCTACCAGCATGAAATCAGAGCTCTTGCTGTCCATCCTCACTAACACTTTGTTTTGCTGGCATTTAGCCATTTTAAGGTATTGTGGTGGCAGTTTATTGTTGTTTTAATCTTCAATTCCTAATGACATATGATTTGGGATATCTTTTTACATGCCTGTGTCTTCCTTGATGAAGTATCCAGATTCATATCAAAACTTAAAAGTGTTTTCTTAATGTTCATATTGTATATTATATACATATACTATGATGATAATTTCAAATATTATATAGCACTATATATAACAATATGATAACATATTAGGCATTATTTTATTGTTATCAATTACTTTACATTGTAGAGCTCTGAGAATTCTTTGTGTATATTTACTTTTCCTATTAAATGTGTTGGAATCCTCCTAGCCTGGAACTTACTGGACCACTTGTTGCACCCTTAGTCCATTGGGGGCACTTGCCTTGGCTCCCAACACATCATTTGGAAAGCCCTCCTGTCATGATCACACCCTCTCCTCCAGGGAGCCTTTCTTAATTCCCTCCAAGCACTATCCTCTTCCCAGTAGTGCTCCCAGCAGCCATTTGAAACCCTTGTCATCATTTGAAAATTAATTCGGGATTTCACCGATTTAATGGTCAGTGTTGTATTCTTTAAGTCATGCAGCACAACATCTTGAGCCTGCTAGGTACATAGCACATCTTTAGACTCAGACTGAAATATAGGCACCCGATTAAGCACACAGGCAATGAGAAAATTTGAGAATGAAATACAACAAAGTCAGCATTTTTCCTACCACACAGATGTTCAGGAGTGTTTCTCTCACCTCATCCATGCCTCTGCATATTTGTAATATGAGATATGTAGATATCTAATATTATCAACATATTTATAGGAATACAGCAATATATGACTTGTTATATATCACACAAAATTAAGATACTTGCTATATTGGTAATAATGTTAATGAGACATTATTAAATGGTAGTGATTATAACATTTTAGTAACTAGGCTACTTGGCAAACTTCAGATTTCCCTAATTTACTTAGACACAAAACCAGTGCAAATTTACATTTCAGCTTCAAGTGACCTCTTATTTTCACATTTTTGCATTTACCAAGATGAAGCTGTCTATGGGTGAACTTTAGCAAGGTTACTAGTAGATATCAAATTATGTGTATTTGTTCATGTAACTTTTCTTAAAATTTTAAAATAAAAATTAGATATCTTAGAGGGCTCATGAGCAAAAGTTTTCTATTCTGGCTCTGTGAAAGAAACTTGTTTATCTTGCACCACTTTTGTTTTTCATTTATCTGGAGATTACACCTCATCTCTAAATAGTTTTCTTAGGTGTCTCTTTCGTGAGTATTTTAGGCCTCAAATATCACCTGTGTTTTGATATTATCTACATATAGAATAAATAGCTATAAATTTTTGTCAGGGATAAAAATTTTGTTTTCTGGTTTTCTAGTCAGCATTATTCACCTTTCTAGTCTCGTTTTTATCAATAGGCAATAGGAGGAAAAGAAAGGACAAAACTTATTTTAATCCTTATTACTGAAAGAAAACTGCATAATTTAATAGCTGTCAAAATTGCAAACAAACTCTAATCTCCTTTTTATAAAAACCTACTTAAGTCTTTTCAAGTTTTCCTTGTACAACTATGGTTTCTGTGAATATACTTGAAAAGCTTAACAAGAGAAACATCTGTGGTTTTCTTAAAGTGGTTGCTTCTAACAAGTTAAAAAGTTTAACAGGATCATTTAACAACTGATTTTCCTGCAACATTGTGTTTTGTAGACATACCAAAGCAATGAAAGAAATTCAATGGTTCTAAAGTGACCCTTGGAGAAAGAGATTACCAATGGAAATGTAGTGTTGTGGTTGTTAATGGATATGCTGGGAAGAATCTCCTGGCTTCTCCTTGCTGACTGCTGTCTTTGTTCCCCACAGAATGGATGACATATTGATTGGGGCTCCTCTCTTCATGGAAAGAGAATTGGAGAGTAGCCCGCGGGAGGTGGGGCAAGTCCACCTGTATGTGCAAGTGAGCACTCTCCTCTTTCGGGACCCACAGGTCCTCACCGGCACTGAGACTTTCGGGAGGTTCGGCAGTGCTGTGGCACACTTGGGTGACTTGAACCAAGATGGATTCAATGGTAATTTAAACCCATGTCCTACATGTCATAATTTTATGTTACTGCTACATGAAAGAAACAGTGGATATTTTTAAATACAATGATGTGAGGGAACTGTTATTATTGGTGTTTAATAAATTAGCAAAACTCACAAAGCAGGATATATTTTGACTAGACATCACATGGAAATGTTTTCATGGGTGTTCCATGACAGCTCTCAAAAATGACTTGAAGGGGACTAGAGAATCTTGTATATGTATGAGATCAAGACAAATGTATACATGTTGACATATTAGCTAGTAGAGTATGTTCTGGTGATCATATATGGGTTACCTATGTTCCTGGTCTATAAACTTCAATAGAAATGCAATTTCAATGTTTTTAATAAAAGTTTTAAATTCTTGGTGTAGAGTATAGTTCCCTAAATTAGGAATTCATAGAAGCCTTGCAAATACTCTCTCCTCAGAAAAAATGTATATGTATACACAAAATCTTACATATATTTTTCTGGATCTATAAGAATCATGCTATAGTATATTTCTTGGTCTAAGCAAAAAAATGTGACAGACAGGCTATAACATGCTGTTGAGGAAGTATTCACATCAGATCAGTATCCATTGGTACTTTTTATGAGTGTATTGTACTCATGATTTATTTGAACAAAAACTTAGGAATTAGTAATGTTTAAAGTATTGTAAGTGTATATTAAATATTTAAGTTTCAGGTGGAATAAAAAAGACAACTAATTTGTTGCTTTCCCAAACTGTGCTATTCCCTATTGTATAAGAGAAATGAATAATGCTAAATTAAGAGTTGTCTATTTTCTTTTGTGTTTTCACTTAAGCCCATTATGATAATTACTATTACTTCAGTACTACAGAACTCTGATGCAAAGTATAACAAGCCCATTTGATTAAACTTAACTATTCTGGAGCATTCTTCTTTATCTCCAAATATGTTTGTCTCTAGACATTGCCATCGGTGTGCCCTTTGCAGGCAAGGATCAGAGAGGAAAAGTGCTCATTTACAATGGGAACCAAGATGGCTTAAACAGCAGGCCTTCCCAAATTCTGCAAGGAGTGTGGGTCTCACAGACAGTCCCTTCTGGATTTGGCTTTGCTTTAAGAGGGGACTCAGACATAGACAAGAATGATTACCCAGGTAAGGTTTCCTTTCTCTTCTCTCATGGGAATTCATTTCTGGGCAAGAGTCCATCCTCTGGAAAACACATCATATGCAAGCCCTTCTTTCATGAAGAAGGAGGTCACATTTAACATGGCACAAGGTTGGGTGGGGTCTTTTGAATTTCCATTTCTTGGTGTGATCCATGAGTATTTAAAGGAAAACAAGATAAATACTGCTTTTCCAGTCAAGGGACAACAATAAAGAGAAAATGTGGTTTAGAAACCTGCATTGCACATAAAACTTGTCATTTTTGCAGCCCAACTTTTTGTTTGCGATCCTGCAGTCATCTGGTATCCACCAACAAAGACAGCACACTCCACACACCTTTCAAAAGCAATTCCTTTTTAAACTGACTGTTCTGGTTAATCCACGTTTGACCTTCAACATTTGCTTTCATAAAACTTGTGGTTTTAGACCATATTTCCAGTCATATTTTGGGACTTTCAAAGATAAATCAAATATTTGAGGGAGAAAAATAGAAGCATTTCCTAGGAATTATAAATTATTCTTGATGACCTAACTCACATTGAGGATATATAGAGAATCATAGACGAATAATTCATATTTTGTGCATGCTATATGAAAATATGGATTTTGACTTAAAGGATTATTTCAGTAATCATAGGTTTTAGCAAAAAAACATTAGTCTCTTTGGTTTTATGGTTCATTTTTTCACTTTATGTTAGTTATTTTAAAATGGTTTCAATAAGTGTTTAGAAATCATTAATAGTTAACTGACAGCTTCAACTGTTTATTGAAACCTTCTCTCTTTCCACCAGCCCCTCCCCTACATGGGAATTTTCCATATATAGGGCTTTCTGTGGTTTGGGGCAGCAGTCCAATAAGCTGACTGCCTAAATATACATCATTAATTTCAATCATTTGGCTTTCTCTTCTCCTCCGGGATTAGGCAACAAGGATAACACAACTTATAAATGTGCCAAAAACCTGTCACCGTGCTAACATAGATATTATAGGGGGCTCAAAGAGGACTGATATTATATTGTGTATTAATGCTTTCTACCTTTGACAATTGCAAGAGCATTAAGTTGAATTCACTTTCTTAAGTCATGTTTACCAGTCTAGTTGGCTAAGGTTAATTTTAGTGGGGGAGTAGGTGAAAATAAGTCTCCTATATAATATATTCTAATTTGAAATAATTCAAATATCTACATCCCTTATGTTATTCCTACCCAAAATATGCCAGGGTGATTAATGAAATTCAACTCCTGGGTAGCAATTCTAGATAAACAGTGAATTTAGAAAGTTAGTGCTATTCATTATGCTTGTCAGGGACTTCCTTTCCCCACCCTCAGGACCAGGGAACTTGACAGGTGGAATAGCAGTGACGTCCAAAAGGCAAAGGATGTAAAGGATGGATCGACCAAACAGCTAGTCCATCGCTTTCTTTGAAGGCTGAACTGGGACTGAAAGAAGGAGACAAGAACCAAGTTTCTCCTGGGGAATATTTCCTTTGGGGAGAAAGAAGATAAGAGTAGGGCAAGGAAGAGAAAAATAATTTTGCAATGTTGCTAATAGTGAAGAGAAAAATATTAGTTCAACATTAACAATTGCACCTCTTAATTGCATCCCTTTATAAGTTCTCAAGGTGCCACCACCTCTGCAGGTCTTTGCACTGTGCCCTGCAATGAGTTTCAGGGTCACAGGCATTAAAGCAGTGTATCTAAAATGTGTCAAGCATACCAGTTTCCTGCTGATTCTGTTCACAGAGAAGGAAGGCATAGCACCCTTTCAGATAGGTTGATTTTTCCTCTCTGGGATGGGACTCAAAGATCTGAGTTTTTACCTGGAACCCTATTTTGAGGCTCCAGAGCCCTTGAAGTTCTACTCTCGAGTCTACTGCAGTCTAATATACATTTTTCTCATGTGGCAAGAATCTACATTATTAAGCTCTGACGTTTCCTTCATTCTTTTCAAAGATATCCATCCAGAGAGTGGCCCTTTTCTTCAGGATCCTTCTGTGTGGTAGCATCATTGTTGACGATTATGCCATAAAAAGTACTGTAAAATCATCAGTGAAGACAAAGGACAGCTCTACACTGAGAGCTGCCTGTGTATTTAAGTGGTACTTTAAATGATACTTTACTGGATTTCATTTATAACATAATACCATGTCTGTTAACATTAACTCACACTGGCTGAATCCATAAAGGACATTTATGTTCAGGTTAAGGGATCATTCTCAAAGGAAATCAAGAGCAGAGATTTACCAAGCCTCTGGAAAGGAGTGACTACAACTTGTCCACTCCCCCTACCCGTGTGTGTGTGTGTGTGTGTGTGTGTGTGTGTGTGTGTGCGTGTGCTTTCATCCAGAGCAGATTTCTTGTTTTTATTTTAATTTTAAAAGGAAAAAAAAGATAAACTTAATGAAACCAAGTTTCAAAATAGGTGAGTAGAACAGTTATAATAATTGATACGTTGGGCAGTGTTTTCATAGTAGTCATTCAGAGAGCAAGCCATAGACATGACATCTTGTCCAGACAATGTTAGCACAAAACTTTCTTTTCAATGAAATAAGAGAAACTAGCTATAAAACTACCTTCATCTTTCTTATATATTTTTTCACTTTCTTCTTTTCCACTTCACAGTTTATCCTTTCTTTTGAATAATTTCTTCCCAATTCACAATAGCTATTGTACATGTCAGATCTTATATACTTGTTCAATTTCTCATGTTCATGAGCCAATGCAATGTTTACGCATACAGGTATGATTCATTTAACTTATGAGTATAGTCTCAAGTTGGATTCATTTACCTATAAACCTCTCCAAATTATCTTTCTCTATGGCTGAGTAGTACTCCATTATATTTTTAAAAAACATACTTTTTATCCATTCCTTGATTGGTGGGCATCTGAGTTGTTTCCAAGATTTAGCACTATAAATTATGCTGCTACAAGCATGAGTCTTCATGTATAACTGTGGTTTAATGATTTTAATTATTCTGGGAAGATATGCACAAGGGGAATACCTGGGTCAAATGGGACCTCTAATCCCAGTGTTTTGAGGAATCTCCATTTCTACAGTGGTTCCATTCTCACCAAAAGTGGAAAAGCATTTCTTTTTCCTTGCAGCCCCTTGGGAATTTGTTATGGGTTCATTTTTGATGATAGCCATTCTTGTTGGGGTGGAATAGAATCTCAGTGTTACTCTAATTTGTGTCTCTCAAATGACCGAAGATGTTAAGCATTTTCATGTATTTTATTTGTTATTTATTCTTCATCTGAGAAGTACATATTCATCTCAGATGCCCATTTGGGGACTGGGCCTTTGAATTTGGGGGATCTGATTTATTTCAATTCTTTATATGTTCTAGATATAACCCCTCTGTCTGTGGGACAACAAGTTATAATTTTTCTCACTGTGGATTTTTCTTAGCACTTTTTTGGTAATTTCCTTCGTTATGTAAAAACTGTTCAACAAGTTGAGATCCAATTTGTTGATTCTTTGCATTATTTCCCTTGCAGTCTGGGTTTTATTCATGAAGTCTCTGCATATACATGTTTTCAAGATTTCTGCCTATTTTTTCTTCCAGTAAATTTAGCATTTCTATTTTAATATTTAGAACATTGATCCATTTTGACTTTAGTGGATGGTGATAGACATGGGTCTAGTTTTAGTCTTCAGCATGTGGGAAGCCAGTTTTTCCATTATCATTTATTAAAGAGATTACCTTTCTTCCAATGACTATTTTTGGTTCTTTGCTCAAGTATAAGGTAGCTGATTGTGCTTGGGAATGTTTCTGCATCTTGCATTCCGTTCCACTCACCCTCAGGTCTGGTTTTATTTTATTTTTTTCAATGTCATGCTGATTTTCTTGCAGTAGCTTTACAGTATTTCAAGTCAGGGATTTTGATGGCCTCCTGCCTTTCCTTTGTGACCCAGGATTGATTTTGCTATTATAGGACTTTTCTGGTTTCACATGAATTTCAGGTAGGTTTTATTTAGATCTGTGAGTTATTTTAAAGGTATTTTTATTGGTATTACATTAAGCCTGGTTAGTAGGTTTTGGAGTATGGTCACTTTTACTATGTAGGTTCCTATCTAATAACAAGAACTATCTTTCCATTTTCTTATATCTTTTTAAATCTCCTTTTTTAGATTACTATAATTTTCACCCTATACATCCTCAATCTTTTACATCCTTTATTGTATTGATTCCTAAGTATTTTCTTTTTTAATGTTATCATGAAGGATGTGCTTTCCCTAATTTCTCTCTGTGTGAGTTTGTTGCTTGTGTACAGGAATGCTATTGACTTTTGAATGTTGACTTTGTATCCTGCTACACTAGTGAATTTGAATATTAAGTTTACAAGTTTTTGTTGGAGTTTTTGGGTCTTCTATGTAGAGTATCATGTCATCTGCAAATAATAATTTAACTTCTTTTCCTATCTTTATTGTTTTTATTTTCTTTTCCTCTTGTCTAAAATCTCTGGGTAACGTTTCCAGAACTAGACTGAATATAAGTGGTGATAGTGGACATCGTTGTGTTGCTCCTGATTTTAGAGTGAAAACTTTCAGCTTTTGTCTATTTAGTATGATATGGAGTGTTTGTCATAGATCTCTTTTATGTGATTGAAGTGGACTGGAGCAACCTGCTTGGGGCTCCTGTCTGTCTTTATATTGAATGGAAGCTTTCTTTCCCCCAATAAATATATTCTACTCTTAAAAAAAGATTGAGGCAGAGGCCATTTATTGCAATTTTCTGTAGAGTTTTTATCATGAATAGGTGTTGGACATTGTCAAAAGCTTGTTCTGCATCTATTGAGATGCTCATGTAATTTTTGTCCTTGGCTCTGTTAATATGGTATATTACGTTTATTAATTTGCATATATTTAACCATCTCTGCATCCCTATTGTGAATGCTACCTGGTCATGATGTATAATGTTCTTGATGATTTGATGTATTCTGTTTGCTAGTGTCTGATTAAAGATTTTGCCTCCATTTACATTGG